TTTCTCAATTATATGTTTGGCTTCTCCACGGATGGATTGGTGAGGACGATGTTGAGTGCTTGATCGGTTTTTAGCGGTACTCTTTTTGGTTGCGTTTTTGGCAAGGTTCTTGAGGCCGTTGATGCTGATTTGTTTGAAACTAATTTCTTGTGTATTTCTTGCATGGCCTGGGCATGAGATTCAAGCTTTCTCTGGAGATTTTTGGCCTCTTCATTGTGCCTGCTTGTCTCGTCCAAAACACAGATGGCATCAGATATGGATGGTCCTGCAATATGTATTGAAGTTTTGGTCTCGTTTTCTTCCAGGTTGGGATCAATCATCCTGTAAAAGAAATTAAAAAAAGAAATCAAACATGATTCAAAAGATAAATGGAAATAAAAAAAAAAGAAAAAACTTACTTGAGGTGAGAGTCCAAGCTGTAGGCCAAATGAGATGTGCGGACAGGTACAGGTCCATAACCAACTCACAAGTTCTGAAAAAGTACCATAAGGAGTAGGACTTTGCAGTTAGGCCTAGTGGGTAACCCTAGGTAAAATTACATAGGAAATCCATTTCTGGAATAATATTACATGATTTCTCAATATTAAAGGAGATACAATACTATAATTACTTATATGCAGGCTTTTGGATACTCTGGAGGATCTCTAAAGGCTGACAATGAATATAGCTGTGAGGTATTACAGAAGTATTTCTGGTGCCTCAATTGATGTTACTGAGGCTAAACTGGATAAGGGTTGAGTTAGCATGCGCATAGCCTGGTACAATTCAGCTCACAACACTTTTGTCATGACTGGAAGCAAATTATGCACAAATGCTAACAGAGCAAGCAGGGCAGAAAAATGGGGCTCACTGTGCGGTACCAAGAGGAAAAGGCAACACTACAGACACTGTAATATAGCATCTCTTTAGAGCTACTGATACTGCAGGGCTGGAATGCTTTGCTGCGACACCTTCAAACACATATTTCAACACCAATTGTACATAACCTTCTCCTCGAAAAACAATCAAGTAATCATTATGACTACAGCCACATTTGGACACCCCACCCGTAGTCAACAACCACTTCTTTGTTTGGTTTTTTTTTGGGGAGGGGACAGGGGTCTCCCAACACCTGTTTGATTAAATTGATCCATGAGGACACCAGATCTCAGATCCCCCCCCTCAAAAAAAAAACCAGCCGCGCGAAGCAGACCCCACAAGGGAAAAAAAATCAGCCGCTCTGTTGCTTTATATGAGATATGTATTTAATCGGACACAAAAGCCAACAAGAAACGAGAGCAAGTTTAAGATACTTTCGATTGCCGGTGTATGGTCACAATTGGTGCATGTGAACGGAACTACGATTGAAGAGGTTTCCGAAATTCGCCCTAACCCCACAAAAAACAAAAAATGCCGGAGCAATTGGTATCACAAAAAAAGAACAGAATCACGAAATGAATCAAGAACGAAAGAGAGAGATGGAGGGGGATAGACGAACCTGGAGCCAAATGCGATACATTTTGAGTTGCCGGGCCCTGTTCAATAGCAGCCGACGATCGACGAACAACGAGGAGACATGGAACTTGTGACCTCCAGATGGCGGCTCATCTAGGCCCGCGGGACTTGGGGTTGCCGGTAAGCATGTTGTTGACTCGACGGTGCCGGGTTTTTTTTTGCCCGATGGTGTCTGCGACTGACTCGCTTCTTCTCTTTCTCCATCTGATACCTCTTGGCATATTATCCCTGCCAGCTCATCTTTTTTTTTTTCGGAAAGACGCAGGAGAGCCGTTAGATCATAGAGAGTTTCTTTATATTATGCGCGGATAGTAGGGAAAGAATACCTTTATCGAAAAAATAGACACGTGTTCCATCTCCTCGTACATAAAAATTGTCTTCAAGAAATCGCGAGCCTTTCATCCTAAGTTGGGCGAGATCGTGGCGGCCATAGTCGCGAAACAACAAGATGCCACCAGGCTTGAGCATCTGAAAAAGAAGGGACAGGATAAAGGATTATGTTAGGAGTTGAGGTTCCGCTGAATGAAATGAGGAAAGATGATACGTGATGAAAGAAGAAGGGATACCACCTACCTTCCATAAGTTACGAACAGTTTGAGCCCATTCCTTCGGGTGTAAGGCGCTGAAGCAGAATATCATAATGATGGCGTCCAAGGAACAAGGGGGCACCTCGGTGGGGATATCAGCCGAGCTCATGTCCCAGACCGCGCCTAGACATTTGGTGGGGTCATAGAGAGGATTTTTCTGGGAGGATTGACCCGTAAGCACAAATGTAGAACTACTGGTGAGTTGGATGATCAAGGTGGACTTGATCCGCCAGCAGGACCGGAGAAGTATTCACTTTGACTAGCTCTACCGCTTTCGATGAATAGTCTAGCGCATATAGAAACAGCTCCGGGTTCTCGTTCGCGGCCAGGATCGGGAACGCCGTATTCCCCGGCTACGATCCAAATGTAAACAAAAAGAAAATGTTTCAATATGTATCTCGTCCATGCATATGCGAGAGAGCCGGAAACACACTGACGCCACAACCGAGCTCCGCGATCCGGATAGGCCCAGCCTTGACCAAAAGGACAGCAATGTCAGCAATTAGGAACCTCCAGATAGTTCGAAAACATGATTAAGTTGGCTGACATCCGGCTTGACGGCCTGTTGCAGGGCGGGGAATTCGTTGCGCAACCATGAGCGATCTTTGAAGAAAGTGTCCTTCCGAGTCGCGTAGAAAGTATCCCAAAAATTCGCCGGCGTTGCATTGAACTTGACTACAAGAAATCAGTATTAGTTTTATTTTTTTTATGCGAGTGAAGGAAGGGAAAAAACAGTGGTACCTTTCATGTCATCAGGGACAGGATTTGCGGCTTGTTTAGAGGTGGTGTCCAGGGCGACTTGTTCCTGCTCCTCGTTCCATTCGACGTTATCCCTATCAAAAAAAGAAGAAGAAGAATAGGCGTTAAGTGAGAGAGAGAGGAACTCAGAATAACCGGGAGGGGGGACGAACCAAGCGTTGAATTTCCAGGGGTCGCCCTGATCTTGAGTCCATTGGCGTCTTCCGACCTTGGAGGTAGGATTGGAGGGAGTGGTTAGTGAGGTGGTGGGTGGTGGGAGTGGTGCGTTAAGTGCGATGGCACTGGCGTCGTGGTCCTCGTCGATCTTCCCCCGGGGGAGTGTGAATGCTTTTGGGTGTCCCATCGTCAGCCGTGTCGTTGAACTGGGCTGAGCAGCGTAGCGTGTCTTGAAGCGGGAATCGAACCCAGTTGAGATAAAGTGTAGTACAAATACTTACACATCCACTGTCCCGTTTATCTTTGTGCTCGGGCAAGTGATTAATCCAGTGAAGTGAATACTGAGGATAATCAAATTGCTGGTTGCAAACTATTACCAAATGCTTCCATCGCCCTACGGGGTTGTTGGGGAATTTCTGAGCCCCCAGGGGTAAATTGTTTTTAAATGTTTGCACACACTTTTTTCTTCTTTTGCGCTTGGTGCTCAACTGAAACAAATTTATATAATTTCTTTCAAACAATAAAAATATCAAGAGAGCGCAGGACTGATGGACACTGCAGAAAAAGGCTGAAGACAGTGGGATTCGAACCCACGCCCGAAGACCGCCGGATCACACTGTGAAACCACAAACTGAACCTTAAGACGGCGCCTTAGACCACTCGGCCATGTCTCCATGGTCCTTTCTCGAAGGACCAAAGCTATGATCCAGCTACAGACAGGAACAAATCCGCTGACATAATCCTCAAGTCTTGACATTGTGGAAGCTCAAAACAAAACAAAAAAACAAGTGATGTGTAGAGAGAGGGGATATCAAGATGTGTGGTATTTGAGGCAAGATTCTGGTTAGTATCCCTTCTGCATTCGGTTGATTCTGTGCAGCTCGTTGAGATCATAAGCACTCTTCCTAGCATTCTCGTACCTGTGTGTATAGAATGACAAGACTACCATTAGCCTGACAGATTTTTTTTCCTGACCAGTTGACAGAGTATAGAACAAGAGAACAGCTCACTTTTTGACGATAGTTTTGAGCCGATTAATCGCACCATGATCTTCGATTAGTTTCAACTTATGATGCAAGATTTCAACATGTTGGAAGGCGAGATACGGGAGATTGAGGATGTCATTATTGGTGGACTCGGACGAGGAAGGAGTGCGAGAACGGGCAGTGATTAAGCTGCTCCCCGATGATTCTTCAAAATCCTCCTCCTTTCGAGCTTTCGGCCTGGCCGGAAATTGGGGCGGGTAGAGTTTAAAGAACCGCTCCAGTTCTTTCATTGCTTCTTCTGTCGACCCAAACCTATGCCGGCCCAATTAAATTTCCGAACACACTCGTCAACCAAAAAAAAAAAAAAAGCGAGGCTCTAGAAGAATGGATTTCTCTCCACGGGGAAAGAAAATGGCACTCAACTTGGCTTGCAATCTGATCCAGGATGCCCAGATCTGACTGAGCAGTCTCGAGTCGACAGATTGGACCAACTCAAACTCAGATAACGCGGGCTGATTGGCGTGCCATTCGGGGAAAACTTCTCTAGCAACTTGTCCGGCCTTCTGGGCTGACCTAAGAAACTCGCAGCGCTCCAAGATGATCAAATAGGTCCAGCTAATCCTCACCACCCGGAATCCCTCCTCGTTGAAGTCGCTAATCGGATGGGTATACATCTTATATTTGGCATACAAATCCTCAATTGTCGAATGGGATGAATAAACGGATAGGTATGAACTCATTAACATCGACAGTTGGCGCTGGTCGGCTCGGTGCCGCGTCCGAATATAACTTTGTGGGGATTTCAAATTGACGAATTGGGCGAGAATGAGCTCAACTTCCGCAAGAATTTCGGGGGTGGTCTGAGGGATCTTTTTGAAGAAATGCGGGTCGTTCAAGGAAGTTTGATGAGCAAGACTTTGAGACCGGTTATTCTTCTTCTGCTGGGGGGGCAAATACTTGTTTGCGGGAGAAAAGGAGGCATAAGTTTGGAAGAGAGAGGTGGCAGCGGAAACATGCATCCAGGTAGCTTCCTGCGCGTTGCGTAGTGGATTGTGCTTTTCCTGTTCGAGCTGCGCCAAAAACAGGCCGTAGGTCCATTTGGCCCTTTCCAGATCACCGACACGTTTGGCACCCTCCAAGAGAACCAGGAAAGTGCTCGTGTTAGGCCTCAGCCCATCGTCATCAATCATTTGCTTCAGCAGTCTTAGGGCGCTGTAGTACCATTTTTCGTAGCCGGTCTTGCGGTCAAAAGTTCCAATGGCAGATCGTCTGGCACGGATCATTGAGCGGATCAAGTTGTTATATGTTTCTACTGTCGGAGTCTGACCGCTCGCTTTCAGGTCCAGGAAAGCATCCATGGCTCTCTCAGGTTGGGTGCTTGCGCCGGAGGCCAATGCCTTCAAAAGGGCGTTCCAAATCGAGATGGGTGGATTGGGATGAGCCAGGAGTCTTAGTCGATTGAATAGGTCGATCGAGGTGGCTCGCTTCATCGACGCGTGGTTTATGAAGTCGAAGAGCTGGAGATAGACTTCCGGCCCGGGTGGCTCTCCGGCCTTCTCTAGTCGCCGCACATACTTATCTGCCGTCTGGAAAGCAGTAGTCGGTTTGTTGGTGGTAAGATGGAGTAGTCGATGGACTTCTACATGGTGAGCCGCTGAGGAAGACGAAAGCCCGACTGGGTAGTTGGGAACAAAATTTATCAAAGGTCTTTCCTTCAAGATATATATATATATATATAAAGAGTCGGTTCATCTTTTTACTTACGCTGGTCTCCCGCTTCAAGCAATGCATATCTCATCTTGGCAGCCTCCTGGGGATCTTGATTCGTCTTAATGAGTGACAACGTATGGCCAAACACCAAGGCCTGATCATGTCCAAAATCCTTGAGAGACTCCAGAATCACCTTCAAGTCTTCAACGTCATTCTCAATTGCCTAGGATAACACGTTAGAAAAAAAAAAAAAAAAAAGCAGATTTGGGGAATAATTAATAAAATTCAATTTTTTGTACCACAAGAAGAAAGATGCAAAAGACTGACGGCAGATTGCAGGAGAGCATACCAAGGCAGCTCTTTCCTGAGTATATTAATTGAGATGGATTGGAGGTGACGTTCGAGTGTTGAGAGGTTGGGAGATTGGATGGGAGACAGGTTGTGAATGATATGCTTCCTTTTTTGTGAATCTAAATCAGCTGGGTTTGCTAGTTCGAGTAAGGTGTTGAGATCGTTTGGTTTGAGGATTAGTTCTGGGCTGTGTGATGGTGGGGATGGCTTGGGCTGCGGGGGAGAGACCAGCGCCTTGTAAAATTCCGATATTTCATGATCTGAGAAAGATTCCGAGGTTGAAGTTGTTGGATGTGGAAGTGATCGTGGCGGCTGGTGAGGAAGTGGAGCACTGAGTGTTGTTGCTGCCGTTGATGCTGATGGTTGATGGATGGCTGTCTTGGTGCTGAAGGGCTTTGGTTTGCTGAGACAAGTTCTGAGTAGTGTTTGACCATTTCTGAATAGTTTGTTGGCCATTTTTGTTTTCTATTTTTATTTTTATTTTGGTTGAGTGGCAGAACAAAAAAGTCAAGAGTGAATTCATTATGCATATTCACCTTGAAGGTGACCCTAAAAGGGGGGTCCACCACGACTCAGCCTGGTAGAAACCACTAGAAATATTCGCACCAGCCCAGGAAAACCATCATGCTTACCCCACTGGCCATAGCCGCCGCTTCAGTTGAGTCCATGTCCCATCACATTATGTATACACGAACTGGCTGACCGAAAAAAAACTGTCCACCCAACAGGGAATCGGAGGCGTAGTCCTACTTAGGTATTCGTTGCGAACGGCAAGAGCAAATGGACAGGTACTCTCCCCCATGATGAATATGATTGCGGGTAAACCACGAGCCAGGAAGGTGGGCGAATTGACGGGCGATTGGCATATCGGTGGATTCCAAGCCAAGATGGATCGGAAAGAAGCGAAGGATATCTTGGGTCTCAAGTAAATCAACCATTCCTTCTTCCCTCTCATCCCGAAACTACCTTCCTCCTCATGATTCTCTTGCTCCCTTCCCTTCGTAATTAGAGAATCTCAATTAACTAAAAACCGACTCAAGGATGCCCATCGAAGAATCATGCTGGCTAATCATCCTGACCGAGGTGGAAGTCCCTACATGGCCAGTAAGATTAACGAGGCCAAAGATTTACTCGACAAAGGCTTAAGATAGCAATTATCACAAATCCGTTTTCTTTTCGTCTGTAGAGACATGTATTTTTACCTTGAAAAGGATTTTTTTAGAAAGAAAAAAAAAACTCAGAGGAATCACTGATCTACATGCCCTCATCCCATGAAAACAAAGGAAGAATTCTGGTCTGGAAAGTAATCCACAAGCATAAGACATTCTTGAATTTGCACCAATTCATTATCAAGCTTTCCAATCTATTCCTGTCTATACCATCTGTGATTGTTTTTTAAGTGAAGTGGCTCGTTTTGTTCATGGGACGGGTCAGTGAGCTAAAAAAAAAAGAAATCCGGCTTTCTCAAGTAGGAAATGGGTAACAACATGCCTCGTTTGTATCCATTGATACCCAAATACTGTCTTGCCACCAGAACCACCCTGTCCAAACCAAACAAAATGAAATCAAAGAGAAAAGCAGAAAGAAAGCAACAACATCAAAGGAGGAGGGATCAAAAGAAGACATCAAGCCTGCAGCAGAGATTTCAGCTCATTAACATGAGGGTAACACACCAAAGAGAGAGCGGGGGGAGCATCTAGAGTGCAAATCATGTGAACAAGATAATCAAGATTTAGAAAGTACTGATTGCCAGGGTGTGATGGACAGAAGGTATGCAAGGGAGTGTTGGGGAATCAATCTGGGGTGAGATTAGGCGACAAATATACACCATGAAGGAGTGGGAGATGGGCTAGAAATACTGTGAGAAAAAAATGAGGAAAATAAGGGGTTTCAAAGTTGTGCAAAACCAACGATGTCCCTTTTTTTTTCCGAAATTCATGCAAGTGGTTAGATGTGACCAAGATGATATGACTGCATGAATTTTGGCGACTTGATCTGCTTTTTTTTTTCCAGACTCACTTGTTAAAATCAAGGCAAGTCACTTGCACTGGACTATAAGTCCCACTTATAGATCTCTGCTGTCATGAAGAGAGCCCCAGCACTGACTGATGAAAACATACACCTCATACAAAATGATTGGAGTCTCTGAAAATGTGTTTGTCATGAAAGGGGAGTACTATTGTCAATGTCATTCTGGACTCTCAACCAGTGTTACCTGCAAACAACACCCAACATTATAGTCCACTCAATGGTTATTTCACGGTGTGTGATATTCAAGCGGCTCAAAAAGATCACCATTTGGCAAGGTTCAGGATCATAAACAAAAAATCAGCTTCCCCTAAACACTGTCTGATTCAAAAGCACATCAAATTTTGTGGGCTATATAAATTGGCTGAATCTTGTGCACATGAACCCACATAACATCTGTGTCTTAAAGATGTACAACACAGTCAATATTGTGTGGGGGTGTCTCCTGCATCCCTTTCTTTAAATGCACTTCATGCAACAAATTCACACAAATTTTGAATCTAGTAGCTCTGTCAGGGAGTCAGTGATTACTCCCTGAAATTGAATCTAGCTAGCTATCTGAGCTGCTGAGTCTCCACTCAACCATCTATACGGCAGCA